ACACTTTTAATATAAGCCATCGATTGTTAGTGACGGACGAGAAGTACTGAAGCAGTGACTGGTGGGCGGCCTCCACGTTGAGGGACACGTCGTTCACATTGGCGTCGATTCTGGTGATCATCTCTTCTTGTTGCTGAACCATTGTCGCCAACTGCGTGAAGATTGTTCCCAACTCGACAATTGTCGACTCAATCGACTGCATGGTCGACGCTCTCTCCTCCAAGTAGTCGTTGCTCTGGTCTGAGTATATAAGCAGTTGTTTCTGTTGTCTTCGTTCGTCGTCTTCCCGATTATCCACCAAATCGTCGCTCAAATCAATGACTGTTGAGTTGGCGTGCGATGGCATTACCGGCGATGTCGTGAACTGTTCCCTCCTGAGCTTCTGTTGAGCCATATTCTGCACCAAAGGATTACATTTAGTGACAATTAATTCATTACATCAATGGATGTCTCACTTGAGTCCGGAGCTGAAGAGTGTTCTTAAAGTTATTGCTAATGGAGGCCAACTGGTGCTGAAGAGTGAGCACCACATTCTTCGAGTGGTTCTCAATGTTGGCGCTATTCTGTTGATGCAGTTGTTGTAACTGTTGCTGACGTAAAGACTCGATCTGTTGGTTCAGTGAAGTGATGTCCTGTTTCACGATATACACCAATTCATTCAACTCTCGAGAGNGTTGATGCAGTTGTTGTAACTGTTGCTGACGTAAAGACTCGATCTGTTGGTTCAGTGAAGTGATGTCCTGTTTCACGATATACACCAATTCATTCAACTCTCGAGAGGCCTCCTCGCCGTCGAAGATGGTCTTCTTCTGGGCCAAGACATTGATTTTCTCCAACTTCTGATATGTCGCGAACAGATCTCTGGCCACAGATCGCGAGCCTCTCATGAACTGCACGTAAGTCTTGTATTGAGGCGAAGATTGTAGTGAATTAGCAACGGATCCGTTGGACCACTTGTTGTGAGTTCTTCGGGACCGCAACTCATTGTTCATATACTGAGGTTTGCCTTCAATGGACTTCACCGTCGAGAAGAACTCGTGAGTCCTCTCTCTGGCCATCACTAGTGGGATGTGTTGTGGGATGTGTTGGATGTGTTGACAACGGACTGACCAATGCTTTGAAAGCACAACAAAATGTCATTCAATTCACTGATGATTACAGTTTGCAGTCAAAGCAGTCATATGTTTGCAATGCATTGCATTATTACACGTCATATCATACTGCTGTGCACTCAATACGCACTCCTATGCACAACACACTCACACTTCACTGCATTACTCGACTACAATTGCAATGCAGGGAAAGCTACTTTCTAATTCCTGGTAACCTTGCTAATTCTAATAGTATAACTGTAAGCGAATACTGTAGTACTTTATTATTGAACTGTAAATAGAATTGTTTGGATGCAAAGCATTTCAATGCATTCTATGATTTTATAATAGTATCAATAAAATAACCTCAATTGTCAGTAATAGGTTTATGGTCAAATATATTGATAGATACTAACACGACGTGTATTTGGCAATACAGTAATTATAAATTCAACACACATTACATTATTAATAAGAAACTTATACTTAGACTAAGTATTAGTACGATAAGTTTCTACGGATCCGTTGCACTGGATGTTAGATCATACAAATAATACTGTATTTATTGGAGTGTGAATTTATTTAACATTTTAACTAATGTTAGACCTTAAAAATACATCTAAACAACTTAAATAAGCTAAGAATCGGTATTTTAATTACATATTTGATATTATTTGTTGGGTTCGTAAGTTATGACTCGCAACTTTTTAGACTATGATATTTGTTTTCAACTCACCAATTCTGTGTATTATCAATACTGTACTTAAAATACTGTACATACATGTACTGTAATAATGTATTGTACATTATATAAGTTTATATTAATAGAAGTTTACCTTTATACAGAGTGATCAGAAATAAGTGGTGACGATTTCGATTTAATGTAGATTTCTTATTAATAATTAGAAATAGCATTTTACTATTTCATTTTAAAGGTTGAATTATAATTTAAAGTTTAGTGAAAACAGAAATTAATTATCTGTAAAAATGGCTGAGCAAATGGGTCCCTAAGTTGATGGTATCGTTTTTTATTTTTTAAACCATTTGTGGCCATAGTATGAGATAATAAGTCATCTGATGAAGAATATGGATGTCTTAAAGATTTAAATGTTAAATATCGCTTAATTGTCTTTAATTAATATCAAATCAATATTTTAAACATAATATATTAACCAAAAATATTCTTAATGACCACTTCCCTTAAATTCAATAAATTCAGTTAATCATGTGAAAATTAATGTCTTAACTGAATTTACGGTAGTGGTCAT